ATGGTGCAAGCATTTGAAAAGTTCATAGCCTGGCAAACAGAGCCCCGCCATTCACATCCAAGTGAGCGGCTGAGACCATCCCATCTGTGAGCAAAGTCCTTGGGCTGGGGTTTGTTCTCCCCTTCCCTTTCTTTTGTTCTCTCTTCTGTTTCCTTTTGCTTCGATTTATTCACTTATGTATTTATTTCCCCTCTTTTTTTTTTTTTTTTTTTTTTTTTTTTTTTTTAATAAAGTAACAGCATTTCAGGAAAATTGTGCAGACAGCAGATTTATAGCATTTTCACTATCTACTTCTCATTAATATTGATTTTTTTTCATATTTTTTTCATACTTTGTTTCTGACAGCACACACGACTCTTATAAAAAAATCTTCTTTTCATTTTGCTGCTTTTCATGAATGGGAAATACGTGCTCAACTCTGAGCAAAACGTGCACTGCTGATGGCTAATTGCTGTTATCTTGGTGTGACTCAGTTGTCTGACACTCCTAAACAATTGCTGCAACTTTCTCACCAAGATCTGAAACTGAGAAAAAGGTTTATTGAGATGAAATTGTATTTACTAACTTAAATCATAACATGCTGCATATTTTTCTAGAGTTCAAATTTTGTGTAATACTAGGGCATTATAATGTGCTGTGTAATTAAGGATAATAAGATTGCAGATTCTTGGGAAATAAGTGAGAGAACTGTTCTGAGTGGTGAGAGTTTGCTCAGTGCCAGTAGGCATCTTAATTGTCACAAGCCAAACAAAAGGAGAAAGCCACCACAAGCAAGGGAGCTGCAATTCAGCAGCCTGTGGCTTGGGCAGGTGCACTCTTTGCTGGGTGAAGAACTGGCTGGATGGCTGGGCCCAGAGAGTGGTGGTGAATGGAGTTAAATCCTGCTGGCAACCAGTTGTGAGTGGTGTCCCCCAGGGGTCAGAACTGGGGCCTGTCCTGCTTAATATCTTTATTGGTGAGCATTGAGTGCACCCTCAGTAAGTTTGCAGATGACACCAAGTTGGCAGGAAGCATTGATCTGCCTGGGAGTAGGAAGGCCCTACGAAAGGATCTGGATAGGCTGGATAGTTGGGCTGAGACCAATGGGGTGAAGTTCAGCAAGACCAAGTGCCAGGTCCTGCAGTTTGGACACAACAACCCCACAGGCAACACTACAGGCTTGGGAAAGAGTGGCTGGAAGACTGTGTAGAGGACCTGGGGGTGTTGGACAATGCTCGGCAAAACATGAGCCAGCAGTGTGTGCAGGTGGCCAAGAAGGCCAGTGGCATCCTGGCTTGTATCAGCAATAGTGTTGGCAGTAGGAACAGAGAAGTGACCATCCCTCTGTACTGGCACTAGTGAGGCTGTACCTTGAGTGCTGTGTTTAGTTTTGAGCCCCTCAGTACAAGAAAGACATCAAGGCCCTGGTCTGTGTCCAAAGAAGGGCAGCAGAGCTGTGAGGGGTCTTCTCCCAGGTAACAGCAATAGGATGAGTAGAAATGGCATCAAGTTGCACCAGGGCTTGTTCAGGTTGGATATTAGGAAAAATGTCTTCATTGAAAGAGTAGTCAGGTGCTGGAACTGGCTGCCCAGGAAGATGTCACAGTCGAGTCACCATCTTTAGAGGTGCTCAAGAAACATTTAAGGACATGGTTTAGTGGGGAAATACTTGTGGTAAGTGGATGCATGGACTAGATGATCTTGGAGGTCTTTTCCAACCATAATGATTCTGTGATTGTATGATTCTTTCCCTCACTCCAGAAAAAAAAGCAATCTGCCAAAAAGTAGCCAAAGTGACCAAGGTCAACCCAGAGGGTGCCTTTTCTCTGGACCACCACATGCTTGTAAGTGGAGTGTCCTCAAGGGGACACACTGTGCCCTCCTCTGCTGGACTTGAGGTGAGGAACTGCGTGTAGCAGACTAACAGCAAAATAAATCCCCTTTTGAGAGCTGATCCACTGCTTACAGCATAGCTTTTCTTCCAAGATTGAATTCTTTTATCTGTGCACAGCCCAGAAATCATAGCTGATTTAGCATTGCAAAACCCTAATGTAAGAAGTGGCAGTGAGGAGCAGTGGATGAGATGGAGAGGTTCTGGGTGCTAGAAGGAGCAGGTGGTGGCCAAGGCTTGAGGTGAGGGGATTGTATCAAGGAGCTGGGCAGCTGTGAGTTTTTTGGTAGGTGAAGTTTTCTATAGCTGTCAGCAAGCATTGTCTGTGTTTGCTGCTTCACTCGCAGCTCAGTACTTGAAATGGAAAGATAGATTGATTGGTTTTGGAGCGCTTGTAATCGATACAGCACATTTAAATGAATATTGTGGCTTTCCACTTAATTAGAGGTGACTTGGGAGGTTAGTATTTCAGATCAGTAAAATGATCGTGTCAACGCTGTAATTTCCTAACAATGGAAATATAACCTGATTTTCTGGGCCTTACTTTGTTTTATGAATCTACACCCTTATTCTTGCTTTTGCTTATACTGTTTGATTTAGAGAGTAATCTTTGGGTTTTTTGCAGGCTAAGACTGAGCAGGATTTGTTGCTGAGCAAAGCTTGAAATAAAAGCTTAACCTGCAGATGAAACCCTTGTATTTTCTCACAGGGTCACAGAATGAGAGCAAAGTAATTGCACAGAGCACTGCGATCACGCTCAGGCACTTAAACACCAGCAGTCAGTTCATGGAGCTGTGAGGCAGCACCTTGCAAGCTTCCACCAACCTCCAGTACTCCCACTGGCTGCTGCCATCTGCAGTGTTATGGAGAAAACAGACCTAAAGCCTCCTCCTGCACTGCCCTTACTCTGGGCTTTGCTTGTACCCTGGCATTTAATGGCACCCAGGTACTGAGGTGGATGTGGCTTGGCTCTGCTGGAGTTTGGAGTGCGTTGGCAGAGGCACTATCAGCAAAGAGATAAATGCAAAGTGATAAATGGACCCAAGGAGATATACAAATATAAACGAGCTCTATAACCCTTGGTTTTGTCCACTCATCTCTAATAACATCGCAGGTGTGGTGAATCTGCATGAGCAGCTCCACAGGAAGCTGAGCATGGTGAATATGTGCCTCTTGCACACTTCTTTTTTAATTTTTATTCTGTCATGAGGCTACTTAAGCATTGACGCCTGGCATTTAGCTGCCAGTGGAGCCTGGAGGTCTGGTTGAAAGAAGACATTCTCCCACTGTCATCCACCCTGGTGAAGCCATACCTCATTTTTGGAGCGCAAGTGTGATGGGGAGCAGCTGAGGGAACCGAGGCTGTTCTGTCTGCAGAAGAGGAGGCTCAGGGGAGACCTCGTGGCTCTCTGCAATGACCCGAAAGGAGGCTGTGTGAGGTGGGGTCAGCCTCTGCTCCCGGGCAACAGCCATAGGACAAGAGGGGATGGCTTTAAGCTGTGCCAGGGGAGGTTCAGGTTGGATATTCGGAACAATTTCATCTCCAGAATAGTGCTGAGACACTGGAATAGGCTGCCCAGGGAGGTGATGGAGTCACTGCCCCTAAAGGTGCCCAAGAACTGTGGCACTGAAGATGTGATCAGTGAGCATGGTGGGATGGGTTGGGATTGGACTGGATGATCTTAGAGGTCTTTTTCAACCTTAATGATTCTGTGATTTTATGATTTGGTTGTGGATAAAGGAGTCTTTATATATATACATACTTCTAAAAGTAGGTAAATAGATAGATGTGCATGAGTCTCTGCATATACAGAAGTCTTCATTGGCAGATCAGCTAACAGGCCAAGAACCCAAGATAGCAGCCCAGCTGCTAGCTGACTGCTCCTGCCCTTGTTTCATAGCTGGAAATTGCATTGTTCCCCAGATTGTTCCTGTGTCTGAGAGAAGGAATGGAAATGAAAGGGGGAAAAGGGAGAGTACAAAAGAAAAAGATCTATTTTTCCCCATTTTGGTCTTTTTTTAATTGCTGACATGTCAAAATGAGAAACACTCCAATTACTTCTCAATGGTATGCTGGAGGTTTTGAGTGGCTCCTGTTGGTATTTAGATATGCATAATGGTGGTGGGGGGATCTCATTAGAGGGTGGCTGGTTGCGGCAATGTTGTCCCAAGGAGCTGTGGTCTCTGGGGTAGCATAAGAGTTTGAGGACAGCAGACAGACACTCGGTGCCATCATCTCCTGAGAAGAAAGAGATGAAAGTGGATCATTTCAAAATGGGATTCCTTCACCCACAGGTTATTAGGATGGAACCTGAAAGTGATGAGCAGCGGAGATGGGCAATGATGAGACGATGGCAACTTCCAAACCTTTCTTTCATCATAATAGCTTGAAAATCCTATGAAGCTGTGAAAGCTTTTTTTCCCTTTTTTTTTTTTTTTTTTTTTTTTTTGACTGATTTGGACTTCAAACCAGCTTTGTCTAATAGTTTATTTTGTAGAGTTGTCATCTTTTTCAGCCCTTCTTTTTCTGCCTCTCTGCTCCCCTCTATAACCTCTCTCCTCTGCTGATGTTATTCACCACTGTGCTCTTCCACATGTCAAGGAGTAAGGAACAGGGAGCAGAGAATGGGGCTCTTTTCACAGGCAGGGAGCACTGACTGTACGCCCCAGCAGGACCAGATGTCTCCCACTGGCCCTCTTGAGACTGCTACAAGCAGGTTCCCAAGTCCATGGATGCCCTTTCAGTATCTAACGGGGGGCTCTAAGAAAGAAGGGACAGGCTCTTTATAGGGTCTGTGTGATAGGACAAGAGGAAATGGTTTCAAACTAAAACAGGGGAGATTTAGATGGGATATAAGGAAGGAGTTTTTTTCCATAAGGGCTATGAGGCAATAGCACAGGTTCCCCAGAGAGGTGTTTGTGCCCCATTCCTGGAGACAGCCAAAGTCAGGCTGGACAGGGCTGTAAGCTCAGTGCAGGGGGGTAGGACCAGATAGCCTTCAATGGGTCCCTTCCAACCCACATGATTTTATAATTCTATGATTCTATGTCAGAGCTATAGGAGATCACACAAAGTCAAACAACAGTAGATTTCACATCTGCTCACATCTGGTCTGCTCCCTTTCCCCAGTTCCTCCTGATGAAGATCTAAACTGCTGTTTACAGACTGAAGGCAGCCAAGTGCTACAAGACTTCCCTCCGGAGCGTGTCGCGTGGACCTGAGCTGCATTTCCATCTTGTGATCTTTCTGATCCCGGCACTTTTGGTAAGAATTAAATCATCTTAATTCTCTGGCAGCTGCATTTGCATGTATTGATTGCCGTAGAGTCGGGAACTTTAAATCGGCGTGAGTGATGGACGCAGCGCTGGCTCTGATCGATGCGGCACCTCTGAATGAATACAGTCATCTTACACTTAATTAGGGACAGTTCGACAGCTCTGTGGGGCTCTTTGTGCCAGGACAGGTGTCCCATGCAGCTCTTTGGCACACTGCATGAGTGGGTTCGATTCCTGTGCTCTGCAGTGCTGGGCTTAGTCACAGAATCCTCCATCGCATGTGGGGAAAAACACAGCTGAGCACTCATCAGGCATCTTTATTAAAATTTTATTATGTAAATTAATTGCTTACATAAGCACTGGCATAGCACACTGGAGCGCAAGCTTGGCAGATTCAGAAAATGCCTTTAATGCCTGTAATGTTGGGGTTTCTGTAGTTTGAATGTGTTTCCTCTCCTTTCCAGGAACTCCAGAGAGCACAGATGGGTTTTTCTTACCCTGGGAAAAAGTGAAGAGCAGAGAGGAAGGACACTCAACATGAGCCAAGGGAGGAGTCCCCAAAGCAGCCCACAGCATGGAGCACCTCAGTACAGCTCAGGAGCATGGCAGAATTAAGTCATGCCACTGCATCACCAGCATACTTTCTGAGGTATATCTGATTCATGAATTCAGTGCAAGTTGCTACAGGTTTTCTCCAAATTCCTGTTAAACTGTTTCAAAAAAAAAAAATTCTCTGTCCCTTTGCCAAGGAGGTATTTATTGATATTTATGCATTTCTTTCTCCTTCATGTGCTAATGTTACCCTGTGGAGACCCAGGAACTCCTCTCCTGCCTGCTGATGCATGTGCCATGCGAATGGGTGATTCAAAACCTTTCAAAAACTATGTTCTCAGTCATTTGTTCCCCATCTGCAGACAGAAACTCCAACCATGCTGCAGGTAACAGGATGCACACACTGGAGCAGAACAGCTCCAGTGTTTCTGTGTTAACTCCCACTGGGCGCTGCTTTGGGGCACTTGGCCTCCAAACCCCTGGCACCTCAAGGAAGAGCCTTTGCCACAAGAGCTGTGGCACTCCAGGCTCTGGTGATGCAGGGACAGAAGTAGGAGATGAAGTGGCCACGTGCTCCAAGGAAACAGTTGTTTAATAAATCAACAGGCAAATTAAAACAATTAAGCCACATTTCCTATTAGCTGCTCGCAATAATGAAGTTTGATGCTAACGAAATCAGGCACTCAGTATTTTAATCTTTTGTTTTTACATCTCCATTCTGGAGGAAAAGCTGTGGGAAGGCACAAAGAGTGACACAGGATCAAGCTAAGTTCAGGCTCAGCTCAGTGTCATGGTGCCTACTGCCTCCTTGGTACTTAGGGTGGGATCTTCCCTTCCCCTTCCCCTTCCGCTTCCCCTTCCCCTTCCCCTTCCCCTTCCCCTTCCCCTTCCCCATCCCCTTCCCCTTCCCCTTCCTTCCCCTTCCCCTTCCCCTTCCCCTTCCCCTTCCCCTTCCCCTTCCCCTTTCCCTTCCCCTACCCCTTCCCCTACCCCTTCCCCTTCCCTTTCCTCTTCCCCTTCCCCTTCCCCTTCCCCCTCTCCCTTCCCCTTCCCCCTCTCCCTTCCCCTTCCCCTTCCCTTTGCCCTTCCCCTTCTCCTTCTCCTTCCCTTTGTCCTTCCCCTTCCCCTTCTCCTTGCCCTTCCTCTTCCCCTTCCCTTCCCCTTCCCCTCTCCCCTTCCCTTTGCCCTTCCCCCTCTCCCTTCTCCTTCCCCTTCCCCTTCCCTTCTCAAAGAAGTTTAATGTCACAGTGCCACCCAGCTCAACCCAATGCATCACATACAAAGGAGCACATCCTCTGTGTCTGTCAGGAATTAGGGAAAACTGGGAACAAAGCAGGCAGGTCTGGTGCATTGGGGACGTCCTGCAAAGCCATGTGGCTCTGACACCAGTGGATCTGTGCCACTGCAGGTTATTGCAGATGCTGAACTTGTGCAAGATGTGGTTTTTCTCCAGCATCTTCATTCACAGTGCTCCTGTGAGAGGAGTGGGGTGAATATGGATAAAGGACTACAAAGGTGGTCAAGAGCTTGGCAGTAAATAGAGCACCAGATCCAGTGGTACTTCTGAGAGCCAGCACAGAGGTATGTATGACACGTGCGTGCCATGGCCATGGGCTTGGCCAGTGGCCATGCTCCCCTCAGTGAGCTGGGGTGGGGGGGGAACCAAACAAAGCTGGGTTGATGCTATGGGGATGATGTGTTGCAGCCTGCAGGCATTTTTGTCAAGAGCATCTCCAGGCTCATTTTCTAGGGGAAGCATCACACATCCTGATGCACAGAGCCTCCAAGGGCCGGGCTGGGAGCGCAGCCGAGGTGGCTTAAGTACATGGCAGATGGGCGCCAGCAGAGGTTGGAGTCAAGGGGATTTTTCGACGTGCCTTTTTTTAATCTCCTCTTAAGCAGACCCACTCAAGGAAAGCTGTAATTATTTTAATCTCTTCTTTCCCCTTCCCACTCTGCAAATGCACTTGGCTTTGCAAGGCCTCAGAGGCAATTTTATGGAGGAGAAACATGCCAATTTTTTTTTTTTTTTTTAGATTTTAATTATTTCAGATAGATACATTTCTAATGATGTGCTAGCCAAGGAACAGAGGGTTTTTATTTATTATTATTACTATTTGTTATATTTTTACTCACTAAAGAATGAATCAACCATTCCCAAAAGCCACCATTATGGATTGGGGAGACATGGCACACAGCCACCTCGTTCCTTTCCTGCCCTCAGCCCTCTGCAGCTGCTGGGGACTTGCTGTTAGCACTTGATTGGGTGCAAAGTTGCCATTCAAATGGGATCTGTGGTCAGGCCCTGCCTGCTAGCACAGGTGAGTGTCAAGCATCTGCTTTTTAAGCGCTTGTAGGTTGTAGGCGTTAAGAATATCTTGGCTTTGATTAAGAATAGAACGCATCTATGTGCACTGAGAATCTCTGCATCTTTGTGTATGTGGAGGTGGTGTTGGACTTGTAAAACAAGGGTTCCGAAACCCTATCCTTTGACTTGACTTCTCTGGGAACACATTCTGAATCCATCTCCTCTCCCAAAGATGGGACAACCAGAGCTGACTTGAGAGTGTAGTAATTGAATACACCTGTGTTGCACAGCTCTTTGCCCATTTGGGATTGGAGGCAGAACTCCTTGGCCAGCTGCAAAGTAGGGTCTGGGGAAGGATCTGAGGAGCAGCTATGGGATAAACCTGGTTGTCTTCATCCATGCTGGCTGGCAATGGTAGAGGGGAGCTTGTAAGTGCCCTGAGAGAGAATGGGTGTGGATGTGATATCCTCTGCAGTCAGCTCTGGGAGTGTGGTGCTGTGCAGCCTCATCCTGGAGGTCTGAAGCGATCCCAGCACAGTTACAGGCTGTCTGTTCTCCTGCCCTGTCCTGTCTCCTGCTTGTTAGCAGCTCTCATTCTGCAGTCTCACAAAAGCACTCATCAAACATTGACTGCATCCAGTTTACTGGAGAGAACCGTTTTCAGGGTGCGACCTCCAGCTCTTAGAATATGATCAAGTCAGTGCACAACTGTGGTGTTGATGCTGTATCAACAATAGCAGCAAAGAAAGCAGCCAGAAACTGTTGCGGTACGTGAAACATCCAATAAGCAGGTCCTAAACCTGATAATTTAATTGAAGCTACCTGGCTGTAGGAGCCCAGCTCATAGACCGCTATGGAGCAGGTAACCTCTACAGAGACCAGGTTACAGCTTTGTCACTTGGGGGGGGGAGGTAATATATTGTGTTCCGCAGGAAAACATGGCCCAGAAACAAACCCTTCTCCAGTTTGTCTATTTCAGACTCTTTTGCTGTTTGTTTACATCAACCTTTATTTTTTCCATCCTTTCCTGTCACTTATTTTGTATATTTAGGCCACTCTCCTGATGGACAGCAGCTCTCTTCTGCCACAACACTGTTCATCTGTGCTGGCTCCCAAGGTTCGCACCCATGTTGTACTTCTCAGCCAATGGGTTTATTTCTGTTTTTTCATCTTTTTTTTTCTTTCTTTTTTCTTTTTTTTTTTTTTGTTGTCTTGTAAAATGCTTGCCACATGTGAGGTATGATCTGAGAAAAGGTATTGCAGTTGTGGTGGGACTCACACTTTCCCAGATGAGCTGGGGCTGGTGGACCTCCTGGCCTGATAAGCCTGCATTCCCCTAGGGCTGGTGGCTTGGGGTGCCCAGGGTGGCCAGTTCTGAGGCCACGTACTGTTCAGCTGCTTGACCCCATTAGCTGTGAGTAGAGGCTTCACTTTGAAAACCAGCTAAAAGTTGGTCTGTAGTGAGTGTGGATGTGCTATGATCCTGCTCCAGTGCTTTGTGCTGCACTCATGCCCTTGTGGTTGGGAGGCAGCTCAGCCCCATCCCTTAGTGAGTGGCCCTCTCCTTCAGTGCATGCATTGGAGTCACCCCAAACAGCCCTGGGGCTGCCATTCATAGCTCCCTTCCTCATTATGCTGCCTCACCACTTAAACTGAGACTGAATTCACTTCCCCTTGCTTCCGCTGCTCTTGATCCTTGTCTCCAGCAGGGTGTCCAGTAATCCTGTCCCATGGAAAGCCCTCGTTGTTTTGGCTATGGGGCTGCAAATCCCTGCAGGTCTTTGCTTTCCGAGGTCTTGCATGAATATGTTGCATTTCATAGCTGTCATGGGTACCTCCTGCTCATGCCTAACCTGGCTGTTAAAGGGTGTCTCTGGATGGTTTTTTTTAATGACTGTGACTGTCTGCTTTATGACTTTTCAGGACAAGGAGGTGCTCCTCACTCCCCTCATATTTACTGTATACATGGTGCCCCTGAAATGCCCTGCCTTCCAAAAAAGAATCAGATAAATAAAAATGTAGGGCTGATTCTTGTCTTGTATCAGGGTGCTGGAGATTAATTGGGAGTGAAAAGTCTTCAGGCAGCTAGGACGGAAAGACAGAAGGTGTGATGCTGCAGTAAAACCTGCCCCGTGTTCCCACCATCTCCTCCTCTTCCCAGTCATGACAGTATCTCCCTTCTACCCAAATCCTCTGGCCTACTGATGGGCTCCTGTGCTGAATTTTGGGTCTTACTGCCCTGGGGTACATGGTGTGACTAGCAGCTCTCTCCAGTAACAAAAATAACCCTACAACTCAATCAAAACACTAAAAAATTAAACCAAATGCCGCACGTTGTCAACATGATAGAACATACTTAGGCAGCTCTATCCCATCATCTAGATGCAGCAACTGAACTCGTTTTGTTGTTTTTGTTTTTTGTTTTTATTCCAGCATTGTAATGTAGGACCTTGGTGTAAACACTATCTGCTGGTGATTAGAGGTCATCCTGCAGTTCTCCTTTCACCAGGTAAAGGGGCTGGAGGGAATGTGGGGACAGATTAAGGTCTTGGTGAGGGATGGGGCTGCAGGAAGGAGCAGTTCTTGGTGATGATGACGGCTTGCATTGCTGCAGGACAGTCTGGCTGGAGGGATTTAACACCTCAACTATTTCTCTTGCATGGCTGCAGGTGATGTGCAGAGCTCCAGCACTGGGAGCTGTGGGGCTGGCTTCCTCTGGGCTGTGAGAAGGAATAAAGCCAAGGCTTCAGGGCCAAGTAGAAGAATAACTTGTTGCAAAGGTGATTTTGTATAGGTGCACACACTACCCAGAGAATGTGAGAACACTGGAGCCTCTAGTGCCTGGGGGGGGGGGAGTTCCAATTTCAGCTGCACAAACCAGCTGTGTCTGCTGATGTTAGTGTTTTTTGAGGAGGCTGCTGAAGAGCAGCAGCTGTGCCTTGCTTCCTCACAGATGTATGGCAAGGATTTGCTGTCAAATTTGAATTACTCTGTGGGACCTGAAACAACCAGAGCAGTCTTCTGCACGAGTGTTGCAGGAGCATCAGAACAACCAAAGGATTGGTGTGCTCAGGAAGCAGACTGGCCAGCATGAAGAGACACGTCAGTCTTATATTGAATTGTTAGAGTGTGTTGCTGCAGTTATATTTCCAAGTAGATAATCTTAGGCACAAACTCATCCTGGGCAGTCTTGCTATGGCTTGAGCAAGATGCTGGCCCAGTGCTAAAGTTTGATGGTTTCAGCTGCTAACAATTTGCCTGCTGTAGGGTGTTTCTTTGCATCCCTTCCAAGCTGTGCAGTGAAACCCAAAAGAGAACAGATCTGCACCTGATGGTGTGGGGTCTCCTGCCAGGGCTGCTGCTGGTGCAGGAGGGACCTGGTGGAATCTGGGGTTCTTCCTCCTGCAAAAATAACACAGATAGGGCTATGACATAAAGGGCACAGCAGGAGCAGGGATTTCCTGATTGTTCTGAAATACTTGGTTACATAAGAGTCAAGATTTTGCTGGTAACATCTTCTCAGCTCAAAGAAATGGGGTATAGCATGCAGCTTGTGGCAGCACTGTGTAAGTGAGAAGACTGAGCCTGACAGAGCAGCAGTAAGGCTTTCAACAGCTGCTACAGCTATTCTGCCACAGATCAGACTCTCCAAAATGTTAAAGCTTTGAAATAATAAATAGTTCATTAATACAAGTAGAGCATCATTCCAGGAATTAAAAGATAAACTGTGAAGTGGTGGTGGTGCAGATAGCAAATATGTAGTGCTGTATGTTTTTATGATTACATTACAGTTTTTTTTACTTTCATTTGTAATGCTCTGTTTGGCTAAATGCTAACAGTACTAACTTGACAGATGAGAACTTACAAAATACTTCGACAAAACTTCTTTTTTGTTCACAAATAATTAACTGTTGAGTTTATTGAAAAGCCTCCCCTTCCTCCCCAGAGCATAAATACAAGCATGGGTGCTGCAGATGTCCTTTCAGGATTGGACAGGCTGGATTTAAGCTGGCTAGGGGCAATGTGCATCTTTGGACCAGGAGTAACAGGTATGTGAATATACACAGAGCAAACAAAAAAGCTTACCCTGCTTGACAGTTCCACCAGAGCATACACAGTTAGGCTCTCTTATCAAGGAAACAGTCTCACTTGACTGGGACGTGCATAAGCCACCCAATCCAAATTCTCCTCCAGATGCCAAACAAGGAATCTTCTACCAACTGCATCTCCATCCTGAGTACAGCAGGAGCCTGAGCACTGGCCTAATCCACTGCTGTGTTTGAATCAGGACTCCCCCCTTCACTAAAGGACTTCATTATAGGAAATATTTTATCAGTGAATTTCAAAGGAATTAATAGTCATTTGCCACGTACTTGAAGGAGTTACTGAGGATTCTAATAGAATGAGGGTAGTTAAACATCTCTCAACACTTTTATTCAAGGGGAAAAAAACCCACCATCACCAACAAAAAACAAATATTACAAACTCCAGCCTAATGAAAGCCCTGTATCACAATTTTCACTTTTGGACAAAGGCTTCAAAGGCCTCATCCTGTGTGTCTGTGGAAGAGGAGTTCTGCTACATCAGGGGAGAAGAACAAGCCAAGCCAACTACAAGCACAAGCTGCTCCTCTCAGTTACACAGCATTTGTGTGGCTAAGCCAGCCTTCTCATGGAAATCACAACAGACATCCTAGCTGCTCTGAGAGAAGCTCGCCAAGGTTGACCCTCGTGCATCAGCTAAGAAAAACTTATTTCCCCAGTCAGAAATCTGCTCCTTTTCCAAACATGACTTGGAAAAGGATGTCAATTGGGCCACAGTATACAGGAATAAAATAAAAAGTACATTTTACTGTTCATCGTATTTTCCTAGCAGGCTTACCTGCTCCTTGCCTAATTCTCCTTTCCCAGACAAACACTGCTGTACGTTTGTACCGCTGTACTGCTGTGAAGCTCTGAGTAGCCTTCTTTGGCCTCCAAAAATAAGGAGGTTTTTCCTCTCAGCCCTGTGCTAAAGAGTAGGATGCAATTTACTTGCTTCTCACGTGAGACATGAATTTTTCCTTATTATTTCCTTTCAAAAATGTAGGCCTGCTACGGAGGAAAAAAAGAAAAAGTTCTTTGCAGCAGATCTAGGAAACCAGGCATGTCCTTCTAGACTGCAACTTTCCTCAGATAAAAAAAAAGTAAACTAAAGCAATAAAAGAAGAGCAATGTTCATCAACGACATTCAGTAAGGTACTGTTTTACAGATATTGCTGGTATTTTCCCTCTCAGGTTAACTCGCTGCTACTAAGACAAAAAATGAAGGGTCAATCAAACAACCACTTCCCCTTCAGGCTGAGAAGTCCCCATCCTTACCTCACTTTGTTGCCTTCCAAAAGTCTCTCTGATGGATCCATTTCTTCCAAACTACAGCTGTCATGCCAACACAACGTTCAGTTGACAACCACAAGACTCAACTGTAATGGCAACACAATATTCAGTCTACAACACAGTTGCATATCCAGCCTGAAGGGTGCCTTTGTAACAAGGAAGGCTCTTGCCATATGATTGGCAAAGTCAGGAGGAAAGAAACACACGAGCGATGTGGGCTTGTCTTCAGAACAAGTTTTATTAAGGTTTTGCTTTAACAAACAAATGTGTGAAGGCATCGATTCCTTAAGTTTTCTGTCGTATGGCATGGACAAAAGGAAAAACAACAGACTGGGAAGCGAATTCGGCACATAAACAACAGAGTAACAAAAGAGGCATGGATTAGTCTATATAGCTGTTATACCATCTATTAGAAGACATTTTGCAAGCAACAGTCTACATTTCTTTGCATTTAAGTAAAAACATATTTTTGATCAAGAAAATTACTTTTTCTTTTTTTTTTTAAAACTTCTTCCTTTATATCACAAATGTCAGGGTAAGGCAAATCCCAGATGAATTGAATGATAAAAACCCCTCTTCCCCGAGAAAATAGATCCGACATACTCTGCTAAGTTTGTCGGTTTGAAAGCAAAGCAGGCATGCACTGCATATAGAGAAATGTCTTTTTTTTTTTTCCTTTTGATCAAGTGCATAAAGCAGAACAGTGTTAATTCACAATGAGGCTTTTTCAGTGCTTTATAGAAAGATTTGCAATTAGCTGCAGTGAGTGTGTGACCCAGCGTTACAGATGACGTCTCAGACATCTTCTTTGGAGGTCAGCGTGGAAGGAAACCTGCCCATCATTGGAGCAGTCACTGGCTGGAGGATCAGCAAGCCTCACAGCAGGGACCACACTTTCAGAAATAGGAGCTGCAACGTTAAAGCAGAGTCTGATACCTTGCATGCAGACACCAACAGCAGGGGCTTCCCCTCTATGCCAGGTACCAGCTCCCACATTTCTATACTTCCTGTCACATCGGCAGAGACTGTGTGGAGGAGCGTGGGCCCAGCTGCAACCAGCAAACCCAACTGAGGAACTCACACCATCCAACTCTGCCCCCTCTATGTGAGTGAAAAATGAAAGAAGCCATAACAAAATGAAAATCCACTGGAAGAAAGAGAGAGACCTATCTGAAGATCGCCCTGTAAGGATTTAATCAACTCATACATTTATTTATTCAACACTTCCTACACTTCTAAACGTCACACTTGCTGCTGCGTCTTCAGGAGAACCTTTCCCAGCTTCAGAGGCTTGCTGCCATTCAGAGACCAAGGCTGAATGAAAAGTGCAATGAAATTACTGTCAAAGGTTATAAATATCATGTCTAACATGAGGCATTTTTGCAGTTACTTATTGTTCTTTATTTCAGTTGGTCTTTGCAAGGACTTAGATGAGCCTTGGTCTCCAAACAGTTGTGCTTCTATGGCCAGCCTCCTTGCTAAAACCAAGGCTAGCAAATGCTTGAGGGATATGTGACAGCTCTGTTGAGGCCAGTTTACCCCAGCTGAGGACCTGGCAATCTAGGTTGTCTTCCATGTTTTTGATCAATTCAAAGATGAACTGTCCCAATCTATTCCATGACGTATGGAGGCAGTTCCCTCACATTCCCAGAGAAATGGATCCCTTTGATCTTTGTCTTTTTACAGAGACAACGGAGGAACTGCAGCGAGAGATACCTGATGCATTCTTTCCTCTTCCTCCCACTCTTCCACCCTCTGTTATGACAGGCTCTTTAAATCAAAATCAGCAAGTACAGAAGACACATAGAAAGGGATGTGCATTGCAGAGATGCGCTGTTTGCAAAGCCATTATCTACTAAACTGGAATCTGCTGGAAAAGTGAAGGAACATTAGGAAAATATCCATGTCCTAGAAGATGCATTTTTTGCATCTGGCAAGCTAACAGGGATGAGAAAGAGAAACAGAAGAGTGGCTTCAAAGTGAATATAGTCCAAAATGTAGAGCTAGAGGGTATTTCTCTCTCTAGGAAAACTAGCAAGAGTATAAGACAGATTAAAAGGCTTATGATGTTGCTTCTAAAGCTGACCCAACTCCAAGTATCCACTAATCTCCAGAAGAACTGTATGACAAGAATCTCCTTGAGATCTTCTCTGGCATGACATCCATATGGTGCAAAATGCCACAGGAGCTGGCACGCAGAAATATTCATCCACCAAAGATACCACAAAAAGCAAATGTGCTGGAGCCATACACAAGGTGAAAGGAGGCAGTGTTCCTAGGAGCTGTGCGTGCTCTCATGGGGAAATCTGGAGCCTTTGTTGTTTTCTTTTCTAATCCTTGTTTGTCTTGACACTCTTCCAAATCAACCTGCAGCAGACAGCAGCCATCAAGTGCCATAGCTGATGCTATATTCCGTAGGGACACAGCTTACTTGCTGTTATGCTGGTGGAGAATTTATCGCCAAAGCTCCTATACCTGGGATAAACATAGATCACAGGAGGATGGACATCCTTCCACATCTTGGAAAATGTCTTGCCTTGTTTTTTAGTAGTAAATAATTGATTTGGGATTAGTGCCTATTCGGGATTGGGAAAGAGAGACCACCACAGCTACTTTATTTAAAAGGATCCAATTATTATCCATGGCATTTTGAAATATGGTTTGTAGCCCGGGGACAGGTTGTGTGCTCTTCCGTTGTGCGTATCTTCTACTAGTTTCATTTGCAGCGTAGCACAGAACTGTACGTAAAATCCTTTTGTTCCTCTTCTAAACATTTCTGTGTGGCATTTGCTGGCAGACCAGTTGACATATGGTGAGACATTCTTATCCAAATAACTGTTAATTGATTTTTTTTTTTAAATTTAAAAAAATCATGTATATGCAGTGGGAAATATAATGAGGGCTCACATGAGATACAGTGTGAAGCTGTTAAAGCCAGAAGCCATACTTAAAGATGTTTTAAATGCAGAATGCCTGCTATCCTCCTTTGCTCACAGATTCCAGGAAACGTGTTGCCTGCCCCTACGTGAAGGTTGTACTTATGGCACATGGATTTTGACATGCACGGACCTCTCTGGAAAAGAGGCAGATTGATCTGGGGTACTGACTGAGGCCATGCGTTATTTGCACCCAAGATCTGTGGAGGGGCATGGCATGGCGCAGGCTTGTCACCGTTTAGCTTTATTGCACCTCAGAGATCTCCTTTGGGCTTGCAAAAAGTAGAGGCAGGGGAAATACTGAGGCAGCAGGTAAGTGAGAAGATAGTGTTAATGTGCAGGCTCTGCCTACAGCGCGCCCTCAGAGTCCGGCCACTGACTCTTCAAGCAACTGGGTTGGGAGCTGCTGACTGCTCTGCATTAAGAAAAGTTGCCAGGAGCTGCTGATCAACAAGCTGGGAGGCAGGCGATGTGCAGGGCTGTCTCTGTCAATATATCTGAGATTTTGGAGAGTCTCTTCTTTCAAATCCCTAGCACGAGGAGGGATGTTGTTTATTGGTGCGTGTAGATTATAATCCTTTGTGGCAGTTCATGTTCTTAAAGCAAATCTCCATTGGTATCCTAGGGAACAGTTTAAAAAAACAGGGCGGGGGGGGCAGGGAATAAACGTGCTCCCACAAGTTGCCTGCAGACAGTATTGGAACTGGGGAGGAAGATAAAGATGCTAGAAAAGGGGTG